ACACATTTCTAGCTTTGTCCCATTTCCTTCTTCACATAAACACATATTTTTCATCCTCACACACTCTCTTATAACACTAGTTCCAGTATGCGTGGCCTACCATCTGTCCTGTCCTTTCTCTGTCTCCTCTCCTTACTCCAGGAGGCTGTTCAGCTTGCCAGTCTGATAGACCACCTACTCACCCACTGTGCATCCTTCATAGTTGAAGCTTTGACACATGAAGGAGCAGAGGCAGCAAACCTTGACATTCAACTCTCTGGGGGTCTTGCAAGATGCCTAACTGGAGTGTTGTGAAAAAGCAGACTAGTGATGGGCATTGTTTCATCATGACCAATGAACAATGCCCATCACTGTGTTCCATGCACACATTCGTACAGAGTGACGGTGGGATTTCTCGACGTAGGACTGATAACTTAGATGCATGAAAGACCCCTAATACCAAGTGATTTCTGTCTGTGTGTGTGTGTGTGTGAGAACAGGTGACATTATCTGTCACCTGAGGAATGTGGGCATTCAACACATTCAAGCTCTTTGGATGTCTTTGTTTTTCTCCAGGTGTCTGTGGAGACTCACTCTTGACAGTTGCGGTCCTGGTGCAGTTGTAGAGAATAGCCAGCTCTCCAAACACCTTTCCTGGCCCCATGGTGCAGAGCTTCAGGCTCTCCTTCGTCACCTCCACCTTACCATCTGAAACATGCACAGAAATACAGGTACAACATTAGGCATAATGCTATTCAGTTGGCATACTGAGTTTTCTGCCTGATTACCCAAGTGTGTGTGAGTCCACTGCTACATTCAATATGTGCAGCAAACAAAGTTTCAGTGATGAAATGGAGTGGATAATAAGTATCTGAGGGCTTTTTCATCATTTTTGGGAGCACCCAACCAGAGTGCTCTTGACTCACTGAGCTAGAAAAAATAAAAATAAGTGTCCTTAAAGCTTAATATTCCAAAACTCATATGCACAGTACAGCAGGCTAATTCATTATACTCTATGGGAAAATATGTGACTGGTCAGGCTGAAGCATTCACAAATGACAAAATATATGGATTTACACAGTCACCATCCAGATCTGTTTCTAAAGTAAACACATTTTTATTGGTAAGCACTACCTGTTTGACAGCAATAATTAATAACTGCTTTTAATTTAATTAATTCTATACGGTATAGTCCAATAACATGATTTGATTTATAATGGTGTTTTCGTTCTTTCAAAGTTTGGGCATGTATTTCAGCACAGTACTGGTAGAAATGATCTTCTAGCAGAGTGTAGGAAACTTAATTCTTCTTAATGGTGCTTAATATTGTGGCCTTGGTTGTCATTGTTCCATCCATGAACATAAATAAGCTCAGATTATTTCAAGTGTGTTTCACAGATGTAGTGGTAGGTTCACACTATCACCAGGATGAAATAAATTTTCATGTCCTGATTTCTTCTTGGTTTTCTTTATATCGTAGTTTGCTAAACATGACATATCATCCTAGTAAATATGTACAATACCTTTAGTTAATATAACGGTAAAAGAAACACACATGACCATGTCTGCACAGCACCAGCATGCATTTGATTTGGTGCCCAGAGATGCTTTCCAGTTTAAAGCAAGTACCTCCATATTTTTCTTATTTGCCCCTGTGGCTCAGGTCGTCATCTGCTGTTTGTTTAGACAAGCCTCATCAAGGATATATTTCCTGGAAACTCAGCATACCAGCAGGAGAGTGGCTCTGATTCATAGAGAGCAAAAAGCTCCAATAAAACAGATAAAGTTGTCTGTAGGCAACTGATGAAAAATGGTGAGGCGAGTCATCTTACCACAGAAGAAACAGTTTGACATGTTATCTTGTTAGAGAGAGTCGTCATCCCCTTTGACATAAAGCCTCCAAAAAAGCTTGCCATGTTTCAGGACTAATTATTTTCTCTACCCTTCCCCCCGGCACCCTAATAAACACTTTTTTTGCTATGCTAAACAATACATTATCCATTAATACTCAGCATGAACCTCTTTGTGGAGATAATATCTTCAGTGTGTCACATCTTATGGGTTACTTCCCTGCTGTTTTTACTACTGCTGTTTAGAACCTTCCTGTAACACTCCACCTTTTCTACTAAAATGGAGAAACAACTGGAAATTGAAAAAAAAAAACTATGTTGTCATACAAAACTGCATTTAGATTTTTTTTAACAATAGAGTGCTTGTGCATCTTTCATTTTTATCAGCTTGAGTATTCATAAAAGGTTTCTTAGATTAACTGAAAATATACACACAGTGAATCTGTCTTCTCAATTTCTCTTTCAAACCCAGTAATTACACAATCTAATTGCACAACTGCTCCGTTTCAGAAGCTGTCGAAGACGGTAACATTTTTATTCTTTATTTATAGCTGACTGCATGATTAACTAAATAATTCTTTAAAACTAACACAAAATTATGTTCAGGTGATATTCCTTTGAAAAGATGTTGAAAATTATGGCAGCACCTTAATAATTTTGAAGTTTGGTTCATAAAAAAAGCGAAACGGTCATTGTTGGCTGTAATTTCCTATACTATATTTTTGCTTCTTTTTCTTCTGCTTCCAAACAAGCTGATGTTTGTTACTTTGACATAAATAGATCACTTCCTGTGTCCTTCAGGATCTTGCTCAGGAAAGAGGGAACCCCTCATGCTTTGTCACAAGAGCAACAGTAACATGTTCTATGAATTAAGTATAGCTGAAATAGTTTCTGTGGTGTCAACCTAGCCTTGCAAAGTCTATGATGACTATAATTAGTGAGCTCAATTCAATACAAGATTTAAGTCTGGAGAGCAGCAATTGGGAGTAAATGCAGCCCAACAAATCTGTGCCAGACTAGTAAGTGAACTGTAAGGGGTGTTCAGATGATGTGACTCGTCACCTTTCAACACTCCTGAGCCCTTATTACAAAGTATTATTGAGAGATAGAGAATGGATGATTAATAGCTTATAAGAAAATTGCCAGCAAATACTAAAGACAATTGTTTGTGTTGCTGCCTTCTTCTAATCAGGTGTATAGAAGCTTCATGTTGATCTTTGAAACTGTCTATCATCAGCTATTGAGCCATGCCATGTGATGACAAGTGAAGCAAAAATTGTGATGTGGGGAGACTTTGATCCATCAGCTATAGAGTATAGACTTCTCATTTCAGTAGGATGAAACTCCAGTGGAATGCCAACAAAGAAGTGCACTGTTGTAGTGATCGCAATATATGTCTGGGTCTGTACCTAATTGCTGTCTTATTCAGAAGGATGCAGAACAACATCAAGTGCACTGGCAAGCAGTTTGCAGTTTAATAAGAGCAGTCTCTTGTAGATGAGATTGTAAGGACAAAGAGAGCCACACATCAGGTTGCAAAAACTGCACTGACTGTGAGGGAAATTAACTCCTCCAGTGATTCAATTGTTGCAAGTCGTTTTTTTGAGAAACAATTATTCAGAAGTTCAGATGCATCCATCCACTCACAGATGCATGGTCCAGCTAATTTCTCTTTTTGTGTTTAATATTGCATTGCTTTATTACAGTAGCTCCAAATTCATTTGAAATGCACCTCTCATATGCAAGCACTATTCAAATCTTATTCAAATAATGACATCACAGGCAAATATCTCTGCTCTTTCATTGGGCAACTAATCTGTTAATGTAGTATGTTTACATCTCACTGAGCCACTGCTGAGCTGTCTAAAGGCAACTTTAACAAGCAATAGGAGGAAGAGATGCAAGATGTACACTGAATGCATAACTGCCATTAGGGTTTTCAGTGTCGATGTATCACAGCATGTTTCCTTCCCCTGAGGCGATGTAGCTGTATTAACGGCTGATCATTTGAATGCATGCGGTAGAGCACTGTGTAAAGCAGGGCATCAGGACAGACCTCGGTGCAGACTTCCCAAGTTCAGATGTGATTCTGACTGCATTCCAAGTTAAAAAGCTGATGTCTTTTGGGTCCCCTTTATCTGACCGTGGTGCTGAAGACTTCACAGATAAAGAGCAGCGTGAACGTGCTTCACCTAACCTCCTAATAGGAGCAATTTAAATAGGCGATTACCACAACTAGTTTACAGATAAAAGCATTTTGTAATTGCTCGACTTTTGGGCTTCTGCAGGAAACAAGGACACAAGTGTCTCTAATAACCCTCAAAGTAAATTTGGAGAAAAGGACATCTGTTAACTTCCATGTGGTGTCTTTCACACTGAGGCCTTTAGCCTGTGTCTATAAATAAAGTTGAGTTTCAGGGGTTAGACACAGGATACTGTTTAATTCCTCCTTCTTTCCTTCCATTGATAGTTTTTCAAGCAATGGACATTAAGAAACAGGATGTGGGGGAGTGCAGATCCTATAGAGGATAACATACAACCACCACCCTGATGGTCTTCTGCCACTGCTCAGGGGGTCAAATTACCCAATGGAAGGACAGTGATACTACTAGGACATTGTTTCAGCCTGGGCCCACTGACCAGCGCTGTCATTACCACTAAAGGTTTTAGGTAGAATGTTCAAGTTGACACCCCTGACTTCAGGTCAGCGATGATATATCTGTGAGAAAAACAGTCATGTTCGGCCTGACTGGTTTTATGGAGGAAAAGCCAAGGGAGAAACAAGTCTGATGCTGAAAGCTCTTCTAGTTGAGCGTGGGATCTATTCAACAGGGACTGAAATGGGTTCAGAAATTTCCAGGCATTAAAAAATCACCATCTGCTCTTTTAATTAATTATTTATTTATTTAAAGATGCAGCTTCAAAGATTTCATGATTTGCAGTGCAATGTAAAGTTTGACTGAAAGAACCCTGAAGTTGTAGCTTTTAATAACACATCAGCTCTGAGCAATTTGTTTTTTCACTTTGTTTTCCAAAGAACACAGCGGGAACGCTCAAAAAGTCCAAACACTTAGCAGAAGATTAAAAAAACATGGTCATAGCTGGCCAGACACATGAATCAACACTGGGAGCAGATACTGGAAGACGAACAATAATATAAATATTTCTCAAGAAGTGCTTCACATTCTGTGAAAAATGACTTGAAGGGCTTGGAATTAGAAGTTTTGTGTTTGGGTTTTATGTTACTTTAATGGCCTGCCTTATTAAATTATTGTTTGTTTTTTTGACAAGGCGTTAATGCCTCCTGATCACAGAACTGTGACTGTGTTCAATAATAAGGAGCTGTTGTTGTTGTTGTGCAGAAGCAGCATTCAAGCACAAGTCGTGCATTATTTTTTTCACCAGTTTAAAAAAAAAAAAAAGAAGTTGAAAAAAAATGAAGCCAACAGCAAGAAAAAATACAAAGATATTATTTGGACAGTAAGAGCACTGTTAATAATAAGGGAAGATCGCTCAGAATGAGAAAGATGTATTACATTCAAAGTGCCCTGGCACAGGAAATAAAGACGGAGTGGTGTTTAAGGGAATCACTGTTTGTATTACTGTGGGCTGACAGAGTACAAGCAGCAGGATGAGGCATGGCTGCCAAAATACTGCCGATACTGGAGTCTGACTGAAAGATGTGCTGTGGTTACCTCTGTGTCTCTGTGGTGATCTGTATTTTGAATAGTTAATCAGCAGGTCGCAACGCTGTCGTCATGGTTAACAGCCACATTCGATTAGACTAACAACCTTTTCCATACAGCTTTACTAAGCAGCTGCTGTTCACCTTGTCTAATCACACCATCATATAGCTAA